AGTATTGGAAAAATAGAGGTATGGTTACATCCACTGGCAAGCCTGTCACTCATGCTGAGCTCCTCACCAATCTATTAAAAGCAGTTTCACTTCCTAAAAAGCTTGCCYTTTGTAAGTGTGCTGCTCACACTCTTGGTTCCGACCCAGTTTCCACAGGAAATGCTTTTGCAGATCGTACTGCGAAGAAAGCAGCAGAAGGCAGGCTGACTGTGATGCTTTTGAGTGATCATTTTTCTGATACTGACCTGTCAAAACAAACTCTTTTTGAAATGCAGCAACAAAGCCCACAGACAGAAATCAACTCATGGGTTAAAAAAGGGSCTGTTTTGAAAGATGACTTGTATTCCTGCTCTGATGGTAAACCTGTCCTCCCTAAAAACTTACACAAATGGGCTGCTATTTTGAGCCATGGTCCTTCTCATGTCTCAAGAGGAGGGATGGTAGGCCAGGTTAATAAAGTTTTTAAGAAATACTTGGGTGCATTTATCACTAATTATAGGATTATTTCATTAAAAAACAGTAATTAGGTGATGATTGCAGCTCTCTGTGGTCAACAGGAAAAGTCCAGAAGGTACAAAGGGGTCCATCTATTAGGGATGTTCGTCTCAATTCTGGTGAAGATTGACTATCCTCCTGTTGATTGGTAGGAAGCAGAGAAAAGAGACTTTGTCAGCAATTATCAACTAATTATAGTTGGAATAAGTGCATGAAAGTTTATATGTCATGACTGTRTTGCTCTTTCTTCCTTATCACACAGTTGAGAACATTGAACCTGTTAATTTGCGACGTTGGGCAGCAAGTGATCCACTGATCAGACGTTACGTTGCTCATTGCTTGCTTAACGTATATTGGACTGACCGCAGAGACAGATTGTTGCAGAGCACTGACCTTTAAAGAGTAGGAAAAGAAGTATCAGTTAATTGAACAAAAATATTTACTTGTAAACAAYCTCTTTGTAAAACATTTGAAGGTTGTGACTCCCAGAGCYAGTGACAATGCCACCTACTTGGGTGAGAAATGTGATAGTAGGATGGTCTCTGACCCTCCTGCTGATCATACTGTTTTTGCTCGCGTGGTACTTACACCCTTCTAACAGTAAGGTTACTCCAGCACAATTAAGAACCAYGATTGAAGTGACTGGGTCTTCCATTTTTGTTGACAATCACAATCTGGGCAGGWCTAAGCGACAGGCATTRAGGACATACAATCCCTGTAACACTGTTCATGTGAACAGAAAGGTCAATGCTCTGCACATCTGCTATAACAACCCAGTAGTAACATCCACTGTCATGGTTCCTTTTGCTTCTGTCAGGACGAGAGATGATGAGTCGGCTGCGTTTTATGCTAAAAACGAGTGGTACATGTCAACCACAAAAGGGTCCAGCACTTGGAGTTCTGCTTTCACTTACACCGGGACAGACTGGGACCCCAAGGATTCCATGACCACCCCGGAAGCTCAGCGGTGGRATGAAACTCTGACTCTATCTYAAACACTGACACACCTGATTTTGACCTTTAACACCACAAAAAATCCACTACCACCCACACCACCTTTGTTGTTTACATATGCTAGTCAACAGTGCTACCATTTCATTCTCTTTGCCTATACTTCTGGCAAAGATCCAGGTGTGTATTTCTCTTTGTGCACAAACATCACAGCTAACGAATCCTCACACTGTGAAGAGTGTGGGTTGACTAGAAGCCCAGTGCTGGACTCAAGTATTTATGTAGAAATTCACAATCAGCAACTGCAATCTGATGATTGGTTTAAAGTAACCACAGGTATTTCTGCTTTAAGTAACAATTGGCTTCTGTTGGTTGAAAATGCTGCAAAAACTATCCAGCATGATTTGTGTGGTGTGTTTGGGGCCCAGACCTGTTCTCAAGGTGATTCCAGCGACTTTGACCTCCACCTGTGTTCTGGAAGTGATGGAAAACACTATTCCAAGGAAAACTGAATGTAAACTCTTTGACCATGTTTATCCTATTTCTCCCACTTCAGCTCAGAAGCCCATCTTTTCCAATCAAGTGGCTAAAGCTAATTTCTCTTGTATTTCTTTCCCTACAGGACGTGCGAAAATAAGTAATTTGACTGCTGAATGGTGCTCTGAAATTCTTGTTGTCAGTTCCTCTTTCATACCTTTGTCTAGGAGTGACATCTGGTGGTGGGGAGGAAGTGATCGGTTGTTTGATAAATTGCCAGCAGGCTCAAAAGGATTATTAGCTGTTGTAACTCTGTTAATGCCAATTTCACTTTATCCAACTTCTGTTAGTGAACTTTTTACTAATTTAGGCACAGCCTTGAAGATGACAAATCACCACAACAGACGCAGGCGGGCTGCGCTTGAACTTCCAGGTCACAATCCAACATACATTGACGCCATCGGAGTTCCCAGGGGTGTACCGGATGAGTATAAGCTTGTTAACGAAATAGCTGCCGGGTTTGAAAGTATTTTACCTTACATTACAATTGCTAAGCACACCTCGAGAATTAATTACATTCATTTTAACGTTCAGAGATTGGGAAATATTACAGAGTACGGTTTTTGGGCCACCGCAGAGCAGCTGGCGGCGACGTCATTGATGGCGTTCCAGAACCGCATCGCCATAGACATGCTTCTCTCTGAAAAGGGCGGAGTATGTTCCATCTTTGGTGAGCAATGTTGTGTTTTCTTACCCAACAACACCCATACTGGGGGCAGCATCACCAAGGCCATTGAGGGTCTTCGTACTCTCAATGTCCAAATG